CAAAGAAGGAAACACCATTAACATCAGAAAGAGCAACAATAGCTACTGGGATTCAGAAACCGGTTTTCCTGAAAAATTGTTTTTGAAGTAAGGTTTTATAAATTTCAACCGACAGTAATACAATCTACTCAGTCAAAGAATGTCGAATGTTTCCTTATAAGAAAACGGCTATTACCATTGCCATAAATTCTAATGTTTACAATTTGTAGCTATCATCTTAGTCTGTTACTCTTACTGAGAACCCTACTTACAATTGATAATTTATCCTTTCTTCTTGCTTTCCTTTATTATTTTGTGTAAGACTTTATTATGTTCTATTTCTCCTGTTAAACCTTTTGCCTCTTCACAGCCAGATATCTTTACAAAATCAGGAATACACAAGCTCAATAAACGGATTATCGCTTCTCAAGTGACATACTTCTTATCAGCAATAGAAATGAAATATTTTAAAAGAAAAGTTATAAAAAAGCCATAATAAGAAACATTTCGAAACCATCTGATATCGAATATAAACATTACAAAAAATACAATGTCCTCAGCATGACGATAAACTACATCCGGCAGCAAGGCATCTGATCGGGTTGTTTTGAGGCCTGGCACCACCTCTTAACCGGCCTGACTCGGGGTTAATAGCACCCGTTAGGGTTCCAACTATGGGGAAATAATTAAACCCCAAATCCCAAGAAGGGAGCCAAAACACTATGAAAGTATAAAAATATATTTTATGGGAAAAACATATTTTTGGAAAAAATAAAAAATATTAACAGCGATACTTTTTTGTTAAATAAATTACTAATGTTTCCAAGAAAAATAAATTTTGGCATTAAATGACCCATAAGTTGTTGATATGCCGCTAAACAAAAAATCATCTATCATTGTGAAAACAGAATAACATCATATTTTTATTACTTCAAAGCTCTCAAGAAAATTAAATTGCAGCATTAAATGACCCATAAGGTGTTGATATGCCGTCAAACAAACAAACAAACCAAACAAAACTAAAACAAAAATAAACCACTGATATCCTTCGGGACGATAAATTAGTGGATACAGGAGTTGGTTAAACATGTGGTAACTTAGTAGATATAGAAGTTGGTTAAATATATGGTAACTTGTAGGACTTGGTTAAACATGTGGTAACAGTGAATATAGGTTAAACATGTGGTAATTTAGTAGATATAGAAGTTGGTTAAATGTATTGTAACTTTTAGGACTTGGTTAAACATGTGGTAACAGTGGATATAGGACATGGTTAAACATGTGGTAAAAGTGGATATAGGAGTTGGTTAAACATGTAACGCCCTAAGCTAGTTGCTGTGAGTTCCACCCCCGGATCAGATTTAAATGTCACTTTTTCTGTCATTTATTATAGCACCTTTTAAGACAGCTAAATTTCTATATTCACTTGATTCTGACGCTCCCAATCTGCAGCTCACATCTTGGTGTGTCCCTCTTGCTAACGACGATACATTCGTCTTACAATTGATGGTTAGTTCTTCGGGACGATAGGTTAGTGGATATAGGAGTTGTTTAAACATATGTTACCGTAAATAAGTTGCCATGAGCCGGGTCCATGAAACAGGTAGTGAAGCACCGTTTCAGTCGGAACGAATAATAATCGGCGTTACAGGGACAAAATAAAACAGTGATGAACAGACAGCACATATTAGCCAAACAATGGACATCTGATGATAGCCAGAGGGTAACTGATCAAAACGTTGTGTATATTGTAACATCTATAACAGACAAGATGAGAAATTCTAAATAATTAAAACATGCTACACATGTATGAAGATCCAGAGCAAAGAATTATTTCGCTGAATATCTTCAATTTTTTTTTTTTTTTGGATTCAACAACATCTTTAAATTCACGGTATGATGTGATGACGATATTTAGAAAAAATTGACAAACTGGAAAGTTTTATTTTGTGACGCGTTTCATTCGTTACGATTTCATTGGACTGGGATTTGATGACGTTGCCATGTCTACACATGCACACGAAACGAGAGAAGCAGGTAGTTTCAAAATCTTTGAAGGAATATTTTTGATAAAAATTTTTTTTTCTCAATCTAGCCAAATTCATCTGTATTCTTTTTCTTTTTCTCTCCATCAACTTTACCCCTAACTATCCCACACTGTGACAATATAAAATCTACCAAGAATGCTGATATATTGTAAGAGCCTGGACGTATATATATATATATATATATATATATATATATATATATATAAATATATATATATGTGAAAAGTGTATATAAATATAAATAAATATATATATGTATAATTATTTATATATTATATGCGATACTTATTAGAAAGCGCTCAATATCAGAGATAGAGCTAACACACATATATATATATATATATATATATATATATATATATTCTTATAATTTAAAATATCTTCTGGCTTTAAATAACCTGAAAAAAGGTTGATAAACCAAAAAAAAACAAATAGATCAAACTATATATATATATATATATATATATATATATATATATATATAGTTTGATTTATTTGTCTTTTTACGATTTTAAATAACTTGCAAAAATGTTGATAAACCGTAAAAAGACAAAGCTATATATATATATATATATATATATATATATATATATATAATAAATCAAACTATATATATATAAATAGTTTGATTTATATATATAGTTTGATATATACATATAGTTTGATTTATATATATATAGATATATATATATATATATATATATATATATATATATATATATATATATATATATATCAAACTATATATATAATAAACTATATATATATATATATATATATATATATATAGAGAGAGAGAGAGAGAGAGAGAGAGAGAGAGATTTGTCTTTTACGGTTTATCAATCTTTTTGCAGGTTATTTACAAGCAGAAAATGTTTTTAGATTATAAGAATTTTATGCGATAATAATGATGAAGTGTTACAAGTCATACTCATTAATCCGTTGCTGGTAGAGATAAGAGGTGGATTCATGCCTTTTCCAAGTGTGACGTCGTCCCTGGTCGCAGCGCCAACTGTGACGTTCTATTCTGGTCTACCACGGCACCAACTGTGACGTCCCTAAACAGCACCAATTGACGTCCTCGCCGCGGCGCCAGCTGTTCGCTCCTCGCTGCTCCGTTCGGTGTCGTTGCTCCAAACGTGACGTCCGCCTGTCGCGTCAGTCATGTTGTCTCGTCCTGTGACGACCAACTGGCTTGGTATCTGTCACGGCACCCAAATGACGTTCTAACCTTTTGGTGATTCGGGTGGAATCTGGTTAGATTTGATATCAGCCTCGTCGTTCCCAACTCGCTTCCAACGCCTGGTTACCAAGGTAACTGCATTGATCCCCAGTCTGCCTACCCACGTTGTGAATTGATCTTAGGCAGACGAGATCAATCAGTGGTTGGGGCCGTAATGCAAACCGAGTTCAACGGGGTGATACCACAAAAATATGCATAAAAGAAAATAAAATGAAAACTCAAAAGTTCAAAGTATCAAAGAAAAAGGTAACAAACTTTATGTCTAGTTGTTCGATACATAGGACTGCATCTATCTCCCCGACCCGTTCTATAGATTGTGACACGTCGTTTTCCGTTAGGCGAGTTTTAACGCTTCAAGTTGTTTGCTCTAAGAAATTGGTTTTTCGGCATGTCTTCGGACGAAAGTCGAAAAAAAACTTATTTCGGTGGTCTGGATCTAAGTCGCTCTTCAAAATAATTGTTCTTGGGTTGAAGAGGAGTCCGAATTTGCGTGAATCTTGGTCAGCTATCTGCGAGGCGGCTTCAACTGAGACTGACTCTTCGCTGCAACTCCAACTCAAACTGAAATTGAACTGGAACTGATTTCTGCTCGTTGTGGCTTCGCTTATATGGACGCCGACCAAAACCGGGGTGGGTCTGTCGGCGTCGGGGTTTCCTCGATATTTCTAAATACATATCCACCTCTGGTTAGGAATTTCCACTTTTTTCAATTTTTGGGAACCTTTCCTCACTCCCACCTTCTCACCATACTTCAGAGGGCGTGAACTGCCCTCCCACTTCTTCGTAGCAGCTTCATACCTACACTCTGGATGGGCGGCGACAACCTCCTTCGTGCGTCACGTGATCACCACTTGACCAATGATGTCTTAGTCGGGCGTGGACGAATCCGCGGCTTTGTTTCAGGAAAAAAAAATATCTTGCTTAACTAAAAAAAATTATCTCTTCTCTTTTCCTTTTCTTCCTCTTAATCGCCGTTATCATTTCTCTAGCCGCAAACAGGACAATATGAACAATGGCGGTCATAACTCTTGTTCTACACGTGGTTTTCGTCAGGTATTTTATCGCTAATTATCCGAATGGGTGCTCTTCTTAACACGGCCAACCGTCGCCCCAAAAAGACATTTCTAAATTCCCATTCATTTCCCTTCGGTACATATTTCTGATAACATAATTTTATTATCGCAGGCCAAGGATGTTCCGTCGAAGGAAATCGGCCAGCGGACACTCGTGGGTGGCTTTTAATTTTTCATATCTGTCCAAAGTCCTTTTAGTTGCCTGTTTTTCGTCACTTATCGAAATAACATTTTCATTTGAATTTTTCTTTGGCCAGTCGGTCTGTAGCAGATAATAAGATGCCTTCCCGTACCAATAGTTTGTTTTCATATCCTTAGATAACACAGCCGTCGCCAAAACATATCTGATTCTTTCTTTCTTTCCCTTTCTTTTTACTCAGAATTTCCCTGTCATTGTAATGACACCCTTTCGCCATTTGTTACTTATCAAAATATCCCTTATCCATTGTCTCTTAGCCGTGTGTCTGTTCTGCTTATCATCTACGATTCGGTCCTTAGCCTCTCCTTTCCTTCTTTTCTTTCTTTTCTTTTTCTGCCACGTTAAATGGTGCCACAAAGGGTATTCCTACGCATGTCAATAAAAGGAACCCAACAGGAATTGGAACTCGGTTCTGACAATTCTGAGCCGTTATCAATTACATCATCCGCATATCCAAGCTCGCAGCACCTGGTATTCCTAAGTGGTCATCCATCTAAGTACTAACCAGGCTCAACGTTGCTTAACTTCTCTGATCGTATGGAAACAGGTGGTTCAACGTAATGTGGCCGTAATCCCTATATAGTTAGTAGGTTGGCTTCTAGAAACGTGTTCGAGTCCCAATATGTTCGATTTGTCATGAAGGTAAGGTAACTTCTTGATGTTATCTGTCTGGAGAGGCGACCCCAGTGTACGGTATTTTTTGAAAGTACCTGAAATCGATACCATGGGTATGACTCAAGCCTTGTTGGAAAAACCGGGTAGACAAAACTGATCGGAAGCCGTCGATGGTTGAGATAGCATGATAATTTTTATTTATAATGTTTTTTTTCATAATTCTAATAATCTTTTGCGTTAGATTTCAACTCTCTAAATTGATTGTACGCTGAATTTGACAGACATTAAATTTTGCCTTTGATTTTTGCGCAAAGTGTAAAAAATCAGTTTTTTTCGATTTTTCACCTTCAAGGTTGTAATTTTTCCAGAAAGTTTGGACTTAAAGCCGGCACTGAAGAATTATCTATGAAACAAAAAAAAAAAAAATTAATCGAAATCGGATGAAAACTGGGGAAACGCATAAACAATATCCAATCCAATCACACACACACACACACACACACACACACACACACACACACACACACACACACTTTGAGAAATATATATATACATATCTATCTATCTATTTATCTATCTAACTATCTAACTATCTATCTATACATATACATGTAGGATTTATTTTGTTGCACGTGTTCATATACACAGAGGTGAGGATGTTTTTTTTTTATCAAGGCTTATAAATTTGAGGACGTTCATGAATATTAATCAGGTGACTGAAAGGTCAGTCAAAGCATGCGGAGGACACAAAGAGTCATAATTCAATGTTTGGTCAAAAGTAAAATGAGAGTAACATTCAAGAATTTTTTTCAAATGAATATTTTTACATAATTATTAGCATGTTACATTATGATTAGTTTGTTATGGTATGAAATGGACTTATGTGCTGTATATCTTCAGAGACATGAAGTGATGGATTTACCCGTTACCTTTTGATTTTTCATCATATTTGTGGCTGTGTATGTTGGCTTGGGAAGGTAGCTATTCTTTCAGGAAAGGTGAGATTGTGAAAAAACCGGAGCGTAGATTTATATTTTGATAACATTCGATGGGAGCACTTTCGAGAATTTTCTTTCTGAGTAAAATACTTTTTCTCTTTTGATGACTGTGGCATGTTTTAGATCAAAATTGTGGTCGAATTTATTATATCTGACTTGTGCATTTGTTAAATTGTTATGAATGAGGTCACTTTTGTGTTCATAGATAAGTTTTATTTTAAATTTCTTCATGTTTTCCCATTTTTGGTACAGTTTTGGAAATTTATTTTATATATGCCTGTTTCTGAATTATTATTGTTATAGTGTTTTCAGTTTTGATTATGTCCATAATCGTTTTAGAATTGTGGTTCAGATGAGATGAGTTGTTTTAGATAGTGGATGTTATGAAGTTGGTATGTAGTATAATGTATCTATTTTTTGTTAAATTATTATTGTGGATAATGATGTTATTTTTGTTGCTGTCGTGTATTTTATGTGTCTTTCTCTTTGCTTTATGGATAAAGAGATAAGGATATTGGAGCTTTTTGAATGTCTTTTCTATGTGCGTTTCATTTTGTTTCCTCTACTGATACACTCTATGTGAGAATATTTACAAACACACACACACACACACACACACACACACACACACACACACACATATATATATATATATATTAATTTAAAGAAAAACAGACCACTTTAAGGCTCCATTGTAATAATTTATTTCACCAGAGAATTTTATCCTTCTTTGGATGCTCAGACTTCACTTACAAAAAAGTTGAAACGAAAAATGAAATTAAAATTTACATTTTTGACGGGCAGTATTAAGCTTATATAAGTTGACATAGAGGGTGGTGAGGAATGGTATGAGAGACATGGTCGAGTTTAGAGAGGGAAGGGTAGAAGTTTTAATATTTATTTTAATATTTCTTTTTATAATACTTAATATTGAGGAAGGAGGCGGTAAGGATCAGACAATGTCCTATTTAATCGGTCAACTCAATATATATATATATATATATATATATATATATATATATATATATATATATATATATACACATATGTATATATATATATATTTAAAGAAAAAACTACTGAACCACACGATCGACTCGACAGAATTGTATATAGAAACTGTAAATTGTATATAGCATAACATATATTTTTATTGAATGTTTAGGAATGTTTCGAGTTTTCTATTTCCTTCATCAGCAAAAAATATACATTGATTTAATTTTTACGTTCAAATGCCGAGGTTCAATAGAGCGGATATTAATTAAAAAGTCTTAGAATGAATTCTTCAATTTCTAAGCCTTTTCAATTACTGAATTACCTTTTCTTTCAAAGAATCTGGATCATACTTTGGCATTTGAAACTGAAAATTCTCTCACTGTAAACTTTGGTTGATGTCATGGAGATTTTGTCGACAATTCTATTATACCTATCTATCTATCTATCTATGATAAAATATAGTTTTAAGGTATACTATATTTATGAATAAACGTTATCAATATCAAGGATAGATCGTACGTAAATTTAAATATAAAAGTGGACACTAAGGTCAACACCGAGTGGCCACCATCTGTTTTATGCGTGAACGCAACCTTCAGGCCAAGTCTGTTGTGTTTTGTCGAAAAGAGAGGTTAACTTGGATTTAAAGTTGACTTTAAAATTGGTAAGTGAATGTCCTCAATATCAGTGAAAGTGCTCAATATCAGTGATAGAGCGTATATAAATATAAAAGTAGACATTGATGTCAACACACAGAACCGACAAGTCTGTTTTATACTTAAACTCAATCTGTAAATGCAAGATTATCCACCACTTGATAAGACACCAGAAGTGTTGAAACAAAATGGCTGTTTTTCAGTGATTTTATAAAATATTTATACTATAATTTTCGAATAAATTATTTTTGCTCTATTCTGTATTGATCACTCTTATAAGAATAGTATTTTTGGTTATTGGAATTTATTCCGTATGCACCAATCCATATATATATATATATATATATATATATATATATATATATATATATATATATATATATATATATATATACACTTTTCGGTAAACCGAATCGAGTTCTCTCAGTCACTGTGTGTTTATCAAAATTAAATACGCTTAAATTCACTTTCATCCCAACGGCTTAGTGGTAGAATCCCCGACTGACGCCAATTCAATCGGGTTTCGATCCTAGACACACTGATGAGTTGTGATACAGCGAAACAGTCTGTCTGTGGATGACAATATATATGCTCCTGAAAATTTTATTTAGGTTGAATTCTCTGAGGAAGGAAATGTTAGTTTGTAAACAATGATTATTCCGGCTGATAATGCAAGACTCTTCGGTAAAGCGAATCGAGTCCTCTCGGTCACTGTGTGTTTATTTAAAAATAAATACGCTTAAATTCATCTTCATCCCTACCGTCGTGGATTCTATCACTAAGTCGGGGTTTCGATCCTAGCTAGAGGCAACCGAACATCTAGCCACACTGATGAGCTGTGATACAGCGGAATGATTATGTCATAGAATGACAATATATATATATATATATTTTTTACCGCCATATCACGTTGAAACACCAATTCCTGTATGATGACCAAGTTAAGTAACGTCGAATCTAGTCAGTACCTAGATGGGTGACCGCTTGGGAATATCAGGTGTTATAAGCATTAATGTGCCTCGGAATTGTTAATCGGAGATCCGAGTTTCAATTGTTGGGTTTGTTATAGTCACTTACGTGCAAATACCTTTGGGAAAGTTATGAATCCACCTCTCATCTCCCCACCTATGGATTGATTAGTCAGACTTATATCAGTAAATCATTATTATCTCAAAAAAAAAAAAAAAAATTCTAAGAATGTTATACCTGTTATGATCATCGGAATTACATTCATATATTTTCGCACTTTTCAAATTAGTCATCAGATTAAAAAAAAATGACCCTCAAAGTTACCTGGGAATTCATAAACCGGTGTCTTGTTATGGCATCGAAATTTGATCAACAGTTGATAAAAAAAATCACAGAATAAATTTCGAAGCAGGCTACCCTCTATAGAAACCACCATGTTGTTGAGGATGATTAATAGCGTCTACCCCTCTACGCCCACTTGGCATTATTAAATTCAATCTATAAACAAGCGCTACGTATAAGCGATCCCTTGGAAATTTTAAGTTTGGTTAGTGTTATGGGGTCCTCCCCTTTTTCATATAAGTGGACTCGACCAGAGTGTTACTTGGACTGCTGCCGTTAAATACGCAGAGTCAGTCATATGGAGAGAGTGAGTGAGAGTGAGCAGAGATTGTGATTGAGTTGGAGGTAGAGTAATAGTGTGAGGTAAACGCTTGGAGAAGTCAGTTACAAGCAAGTTGACTGTAAGGAAGTCCTACTTCGAGACTGTATATATATTATTATCATTGCTACTAACCGCGTTCCTGGATTTACTAACAATATACACATTGTATTATTGTGTAAATACATTTAATTCCTTATCTTTAATTCTTGCATCATTCATTGGAGACCGAATTTCATCTCGGAATCCACAACAATTAGGTTGACTGATGTTAACTTTTGTTGGGTCATTTAATATCGAATTTTGTAGAGCACAGCCAGTGAGAATTGATCTCATTACTCTTTAGGAATGGTCAAACAGCCTAGCGTAACCTACACTGGTGCCTCTCTGAAAAAGTTCATTGTTTATTATGCATAACGGCAAATCTATACTAATCTAGTTGTCTTGTTTCGTAGTAACATGCGTTAGTATATTTCTATTGATACAGGTGATAAGTGTTCCAAACCGGTTAAAAGCCTTGGATTTTGAATGCTGATTTTCAGAGCAAACACACGTCCCTTTCTAACTTAAAAGCGTATGTTCCTGTATGGACAGTTAGCATTATTAAATTCGGCAGTAAAGTAACGCCTTATATGACCGTTTACTATGAAATGATTAGACTGATTGATTTTACCTG